ACAAGGACCCAAAAGCGACCGTAAAGCACATTTCTAAACTGATGGATGGCACTTCGAGAAATGCGGCCGAGGGGCCGGAGGAACAGTCGTATCTGAAGAGGGACGCACACAGCTCAGGACCCGTGGAGACTGGCCCACGGAGGCCACGGGGACCGGGGGGGGGGGGGGGAGCCGCTCCCTTTACAGCACTTTCCTTTCCTCGCAGGGGGTAACCCTGCAGCCACACTCTCAGGGTGACGCCCTGCACATTTCTGACCTCCTTCTGGACACAGCGCCACTGCCTCCAGCACGGAGCCCTACAAACGCCCCACGTCAGCCCCGCGAAACTCTTACCTCTCTAGTCGTTAAGATGTCGGTGTTTTACTGGGGTCTCCCCTCCTCCCCCCCCCAGTCCAGAAAGTGCTTCCCGGCAGAAAGCTGGACGAGGGCCGCTTCGGTGGCGCCCTCTCTCTCCGTGATGGCAGCTCTGGGCTGCCTGTGGTCCAAGGTCGGAAGCGTGTTTGCCTCACATCTGTCCGGTTTTCACGTTACGATGTGGGGGACGTCTGCCCCAACTGCTCCATCGTGACCCCAGATGGCGGTTCCCTTTTGTTTACTCTCAGGCTCTTCTCTTTCTCGGATATTTTTTTGTTGCACTACGTGTAAATCTAGGTGTAGACGTCTCTGAACTTTTCTTACTTGATGCTCCTGTATTTGTGGACTCGCATCTTTCATCGGTTCTCGAAAACTCTCGGAAATCAGCTTGACAAATACCGCCTCTCTTCCACTCTCTTTGTTCTCTCCTGTGGACCTCCAGTCGGACACTCTTATTCTGCCCTCCTGGTTTCCGAACCGCTCAGTCCCACTGTTCCACACCTTTCCTCTTTGTGGTATGTTCTAGGCGGTCCTACCTGTCCTTAACTAAAATCCCCTCATCAGCTGTGCCATCTGTTTAACGTTTCTTTCGAGATTTTTACTACAACAATCAATTTTTAAGATAGCTTTATTGAGGTATGGTTGATACACAGAGAGCAGCACATATTCAATGTACACAATTTGATGAGTTTGGACATAGGCACACACCCATGATTCCTTCACTATTTAACAATTACATTTTAATTTTTTAAGTTTACTTATTTGGGGGCGCCTGGGTGGCGCAGTCGGTTGAGCGTCCGACTTCAGCCAGGTCACGATCTCGCGGTCCGTGAGTTCGAGCCCCGCGTCGGGCTCTGGGCTGATGGCTCGGAGCCTGGAGCGTGCTTCCGATTCTGTGTCTCCCTCTCTCTCTGCCCCTCCCCCGTTCATGCTCTGTCTCTCTCTGTCCCAAAAAATAAATAAATGTTGAAAAAAAAATTAAAAAAAAAAATAAGTTTACTTATTTGAGAGAGAGAGAGAACATTCGAGCAGGGGAGGGGCAGAGAAAGAGGGAGAGAGACTCCCAAGCAGGCTCTATGCTCAGTGCAGAGCCCGACTCAGGGCTCCATCTCACGAACTGTGAGGTCATGACCTGAGCTGAAACCAAGAGTTGAACGCTTAACCAACTGAGCCACCCAGGTGCCCCTTGCCTTTTTAAAAAAGTTTTTATTCATTTATTTTGAGAGAGAGAGAAAGAGAGAGAGAGAGAGAGAGAGAGAATGAACAGGGAGGGGCAGAGAGAGAGAGAGAGAGAGCAAGAATCCCCAACAGGGTCCACACTGTCAGCACAGAGGCTGATGCGGCGCTTGAACTCACAAACTGTGGAATCGTGACCTGAGCCAAAACCAGGAGTTAGATGCTGAATCAACTGAGCCAACCAGGTGCCTCTACAATTACATTTTTGAACATTCTCTTTAGTCCTTTTTTTTGTTTTTAATAATTTTTTTTGTTTCAAAGCAAAACAAAAACAAAAACAAAAAACTTACCGAAAAGTTCAACATGCAGTAAATTAAACCCCTTTTCTTTGCACCATTTGAGAATAAGCCTCTGAGTTGAGGCTGTATCACTGACAAGTACCTCAGTATGAACTTCCAACAAGAACTCTCTTCCTACAGATCATCTACAGTCATGAAGATAAGTCAACCTCGTTCCCTTCCTTCCCTCTTGTCTGCAAACCCTGGCCCCGCCTGCAGGCCGTCCCAGGAACGGTCATCACGGCGAGAGCGGTCAGTTTGTTTGCTCACAAGTGGCAGGCTGTCCCCACCGCGGTTCTGCTGCCCACGGAGATGCTCTCACCACTCACACCCAGCTCTGACCTCCTGGGCCCCACCTCCCAGCGGCGTGGAAGCCCTCCCACAGCGCTGGCATGCTGATGTCCCAGTTCACCGCCTGCTGCTACACCCAGCTCACACGCGGCCCCCACCCCGGGGTGGCGTCCTCCTGTCCTGCCCGGGCCGGGACTCTCCATGTTGCACTGACCCCAGTGCCTCATTCTGCCAAGCTGACTCCTTACCCTAGCCTGCCAATCTGCAAGGACATACTCCTCCCTGTTTTGATCTCGCTTCCCATACCGGACAGCCCTCGTAAGGAGCCTGGGTTCTGATTCTCAGATGTGGGTCAGCAAAGCCATCTCCATCTCCCCTGCCCCTGTCGGTATCACCACCGGCATCACCTCATGGCTTGAGGATAAGACTGTTCCAGAAGAGAAGGCTGCAAAGAAGAGGACCAATACAGAGCGGCTCTCCGGTCACTATGGGGGTCTCCTCCTGGCTTCTCACTTTAACTCATTTCCTTAAACATTTCACGTAGTGTTGTTTCTGAGAATTTCAGTATCTGAGCTCCTTGGGAGGGCAATCTACAGTTTATATGTTTTCAACTCTCAATTATTGTGGTTTCTTCTCCTGTGTATTTTGTGATCTTTTTTTTTTCTTCTTCAAGTTTATTCATTTTGAGAGAGAGTGTGAGTGGGAGAGGGGCAGAGAGAGGGAGAGAGAGAGAGGATCAAAGCAGGCTCCGTGCTGTCAGTGCAGAGCCCGACGCAGGGCTCAACGTCACGAACCATGAGGCCATGACCTGAGCCGAAATCAAGAATCTGAGGACTGACTGACTGAGCCACCCAGGCCCCCCCACAGTTGCTTGATCTTAAACTGTGAAAAACAGGGGAGCATAATATGAGGAAGGCCTTCCAGGATCTCTGGCTTAAACCGGGAGCCTCACGTTCATACTCTCACCACCACAGAGGCCCAAGAGCTTATTTCCTACTGGCAGTGCTAACAGGGATACCTTCCCTCAGGGAAACCTGCCTTCCTTATACCCTCACTATTTATAGCTCACGCCCTCCCCCACCTCCCTGCTTCTTTCTTGATCCCCTGGAGATTTGTTTTAATTTCTAAAGCCCAGCAATCCAACAATTTTTTTTTTTTTTTTTTTTGCAAAATCTGTCTTATAGCAGGAGGATGGGGCCCTAGACTTTTCAGTCCATGTTGACAGAAGAGTAAGGCTTCTATATCTACTTTTAACTGAAAGCGAAGTGGAACCTGTAAGATTTTCAGGGGGAGATGTAAGAAATTGTTAAATGCTCAGCAGGAGATCTTCTTAGGTTGACCATTTATACTCCTGTAATGCGACACCTGGCAGCAGCTTCATTTAAAAAGTTAAAGAGGGGCGCCTGGGTGGCGCAGTCGGTTAAGCGTCTGACTTCAACCAGGTCACGATCTCGCGGTCCGTGAGTTCGAGCCCCGCGTCGGGCTCTGGGCTGATGGCTCAGAGCCTGGAGCCTGTTTCCGATTCTGTGTCTCCCTCTCTCTCTGCCCCTCCCCCGTTCATGCTCTGTCTCTCTCTGTCCCAAAGATAAATAAAAAATGTTGAAAAAAAAATTAAAAAAAAAAAATAAAAAGTTAAAGAAAAAACACAGGTTGGGAGCAGGGCATTCTGAGATGCTCCCCTTTGCAGTCCACGTAAGCACACGTGAGCTCCTTACAGAGCTGCTCTGTGGTTCCCCAAATGCAACTCAGGTGCAAGATGAAGGCGTCGGGACTGCCCTGGCTTAGAATCCTAGGGGCGCCTGGGTGGCGCAGTCGGTTAAGCGTCTGACTTCAGCCAGGTCATGATCTCGCGGTCTGTGAGTTCGAGCCCCGCGT